CACCCCGACTATCATGTTTAGTTTATGTTCTGATTGGGGAATTAATAATAGATTCGCCTTTATTTATAAGTTTTAAATATCTCTAAATTTAGGGTTGTTACAGTGTGTATCAAAGCCTAGCTTTGACCCTAGGATAAAACCCCTAAGACGAAACTTTATGACATTAAGTTCGGACTCTAGGTGCTTAAGTACATAGGATCTAGGAAACTTAGGAAGTGCGGTGAGGCAGTGTGTTTATTTACCGTCTTATGCTCAACTCACTTTAGCTTGTATCTACAAATATATACTCTGTGCTTAGCATAGGAAATTCTTGCAGACAAGGACGCAAACCTCTAACTCACGCCCATGCCTGGTATTAAATCTATAGACAACTGGGATGACACCATCAGGAGAACAACTAGAACCCCACACGCATGATCTCCTGACTCAGAACCTGCAACGATTGACCCAGATCGTTCAACCACTGAACCACGCCTTAACAACCAATAATGATCTAGCCTCAATAGGTGGAGATCTTGACTTAGTACGCCGAATAGGTGGAGATCTTGAATAGAATTCCCTTGCAATATAATCCAGTTCAAGTTGGACGGAATACAGGTAATCTTGGGAATGAACAGGCTGGGGAAATTCAAGGCACAGATCCTATGCGGTGAACAAAAAGTGGTCTTAAGGGGACCAAACGGGAAACAGGTGTCCTATCGCGGATTCGCCAAGAATTCAGAAATCAAACTAGTGAACAGGATGAAAATGAAGAAGTACTTAACAAGAGGGCACGAAGCCTTTCTTTGCTCAATTGATGATTTGGATGCCGAAAATAACGAACCGCGGATAATTCCGGTAGTGGACGAATTCGCGGACGTTTTCCCAAAAGAAATCCCCGGAGTACCTCCGCCCAGAGAAGTGGAATTCACTGTGGATTTGATGTCAGGCGCTGCCCCTATCTCAAAACCACCCTATAGGTTGGCACCAAGAGAAATGCAAGAACTGAAAGCACAGCTACAAGACTTGTTAGATAAAGGGTACATACGCCCTAACACCTCACCATTGGGAGCACCGGTACTATTCGTCAAAAAGAAAGATGGAAGCATGCGATTATGCATTGATTAAAGGGAATTAAATCAGGTTACCATAAAGAACAAGCATTCCCTCCCTCAGATAGACGACTTGTTAGACCAACTCAAGGGAGCAGGGGTGTTCTCGAAAATCGATCTGAGATCCGAATACCATCAAATAAAAGTGGCCATCCCAGACATCCCAAAGACAACCTTCCGAACCCGCTACGGCCACTATGAGTTCACAGTAATGCCATTCGGGCTAACCAATGCGCCCGCAGTATTCATGGATCTCATGAACCGTGTATTTCGACACTACCTTGATGACTTCGTGATTGTATGTAATTTTGCATTCTCTCACTCTTAGTCAATTTTAATGTAGTTGGACTGTCGAATTAGAGTGACTGATTTGTAGATAAGATCAATCAGTAAGATAGATCACAGTGCGAGTAAACGAGAGAGACAGCATAACAAATCAACACACAAGATGTTTTCCCAATTCGATATAGTGTGTATCTACGTCTGGGGGACGATCACTTAGGCGTCCAATCCACTATAACATAATCAAGTGTACAACGCTAGAGAAACAATAATCTCACCCAAGTGCCCCACACAAGGTACGTACCCAGTCTACACAGATCTAGTGGATTGTTGAAGATGGAGAGCCACGCATCTAGAAGTCCAAGGAAATCCCTTCACTTGGAGAGCCAACTCTGATGCAGTCCACTTCAGTGACGTTCTATTTAGTTGTTCCCACAACTTGTGATCGTAGTGTCCTTTCATTTAAGCAACCAGTGTCCTTCCCATGTTCATCGTCATAATCACCATACACATATTGTGTTGAGAAGGAGTAATCAAATCAAAGATGAGTTCTCATAAAATCTGTATGGAGTGTTTCTTCTGTCTCAAAGTCGTAACCCTAATTCTTGATGAATAAGAGTACTTATAGTTCCACCAATAAACACTCTCCATAGATATCATTGATTCTAGAATGTAGGACTGCAATATAGGAATGTAATCTTTGAAGATTAGGTCCATACTTTTCCCAAAAATATTCGCTGATCTTCTTTCCAAAACTGCCTTTAGTAAACCGCGTACAGCCTTATAGAAATCTGCTTCCTAAAACAGATCTTCAGTGTCAGTCCTTCTGTTGTTGCTTCTGATTGATCAGTCATCTGTAAAGATAGACAGAGTCAAGCTAAACCTATCTTAGTATGCCATAATAATATTGCCAATTATAAGGTGGGGTTTTTTATCGAACAATTAAAAACACTAACAAACTCCCCCTTTGGCTATTATTTAGCAAAACAACTCGACTAAGTAGATAGACATAAAGAACTAAGATAGGTTATTATAAAGAAACAGCCCATGAGTCTGATCTGATTACATAGCAGAGAGAAAACAAAAACAAATATCAAAACACAATTTAAGATCATTCTTCAAAGATGCAGCGGTGCCATCAAAACAAACGATAAAAACAAACGCCTAGCCAGGGCCAGAAGGTAAACACAGACAACCAAAAAAACAAACTCCCCCTGAGTTCAATATATACTCCCCATTTTTGCCAATGAGAGCCAAAGGTCAAGCATTGGAGGGAGCGTCACTGTCGGACGTCGCAGGTGCAGTCGCCGCAGATTCTGATAGGCTGAAACGAAGGACGGTTGCAAGTTCAGAACGGGCCCCTGTCAGTTGTTTAGCAATAATGCTGTGAACAGTCTCAAGGTCAGAGACTCTTGCTTTCAACTGAATGGAGAGTTGAAGATCCTTTGCGTGGGGCGAGTCATCAGCCACAGTATCAGGTTCAGGGTTGGAAGAAGCAGTCACCGGAATAACATCGCAAATGTGATCTCCAGTCAGAAGATGCTTATCAACAGTATAGAGCAGGATTGAACTGATCACTTCACTCGGCATAGGCTCAAGACCCTGAGTTGTAAGAATGCCATAAATCATATTCGGAAAGGGTAGCCTTACCTTCTGTTCTCGTGGATGAATCAAGGTGAGGATGTGGTAGTAAATCCGGTTTCCCATATCAATCTGCATCCTTATTCCAATTCGAAACAAGAAACCTGCCAGATGCTTGCCAACAGTATGAAAGTGAGCCGATGGGAGCTAGTTATGAAGAGCTAGGCGATGCAGAATAACATATCTGGAAGTGAGTTGAGAGCTCTGCAGATAATCTTTGTCACCCGTAGGCCAAGATTCAATTTGACCACCTGTAAGGGTTTTGGCTACCACGTTCCAGTCTGAGATTGCCTCTTCTTGCACAGTAGTCAGTCCATAGTATTTATTGATCATGTCAGGCCCAAACAAGTACCACTTCCCTCTGATGAAAATCTGCATTGTTCGTGGCCCGATTAGGATGTCCATTTCATCATTGAGATTGCAGTAGAATTCATACGTGAAGAACTTTGAGTATGGGCAGATGGCAGTTACAGTCTTCAGCCATCCTACTTCATTCAGCAGAGGTAGAATATCACATACAGAGTTCAGCTAGTTCTCATCCACAGACCGTTGCACAATAAGGTCTCGTCTGACCATAGTAGACCATTTTCCCTGTGCAGCAGGAGATACAAACTGAGGCTGGTAAACAGATGTATCAGATTCTTCAACAGGTAGAACTTCAGGAGTGATGCTTCGGCCTCTGGAACGTGTGGATGGTTTCCCCTTTTTGGTAGACGACGACGGTACAGTAGCATATTGAATCTCCGTAGGACCCTTTTGTTTGACAGATGATCTCAGAGTCTTGAACACTCGTTGAATAGGTAGATTAGCTTCAGTTTTGACGGTTTCACTATACTTCATTCTCTTCTCAGGCTGGCTCACATCAGCACTGTCACCATCGGTCTCTACAACAACTTTCACTGATACATTCTTTCTTTTAGACCTTCTCATTTCTTTGGATGGGGATTGAGCAGGAGATGCAGAAAAACTGGAATCAGAGACATTAGCAGATGAGTTCCCAATAAGATTTGTAATCTCTCGAATTTTAAAGGTGGTGGAGTCAGGATGAGCTGTGGCCTCAACTGTCGGATCCGTAGATGCATGAGCTTGGGTACCATACACTTCAGTGAGGATCTTGTCATCTTCACTCGAGGATTCCGAAGGGTGAATCACTCTGTAGGGTTCTGGAATGGAGGCTTTAGGTACACCAGCAACGTGCCTAACTTGTTCAAGATCCTCTGTCAAAGATGAGGAGGTGTAGACCGGAATACTAACCATATTTGTGGGTTCATGGGGGCTAGAAGATTTCACATTCTCAATCACCGTAGGCACATCAGAGGGATTAACAGAAACATCGATTTCTTGTGGGACATCAACAACAACATCAGGAGGCAGAGCAATATTATCAGTATAAAAAACGACAATACTTAGATTGTTCTGCAGTTGGCTTGAACTTTTCTACAGAAGCTCTAGGAGACTCATTATGCAAGGTATCAGACTTTTCAACCGATAAGTAAGTAGGATCAACAGATACAGATGGTTTTTCAGAGTCTAAAGCCAACACTAGTACAGAAACAGTCATTCGCGTCCAAAGTTAAGGCTAATTCGCGTCCAAAGTAGCTGGGACGCAGATGGCGGGGACGCTGATTGTATAAACAATCAGCGTTCAAAGTAGCTTTGGACGCGCAAAATGATTATTCGCGTCCAAAGTTGAAGAACTTTGGACGCGAAAAATGATAATTCGCGTCCAAAGTTCGTGCGTATAGTGTTTATTTATTTTTAAAAAAAATACTATACGCGTCCAAAGTTTCTGAACTTTGGACGCGTATAGTGAAAAGAAATTAAAAAAAACACCTTTTTTTATAAAACTACCAATATTTTCCTGTACATCCCAACATAACTACCAAATAATATATTTCAACATTAATCAATTTAAGATGTATATTACACACCAATTCTATCAACTACTTCTCAACATATATCTACACTATGCAAGGAGTATACAATTTCATCTTTCATTATAACATAAACAAAAAGAAAAATATTTAAGAAAAAAATTAACAGCTTGAACTCTTCTCTATCTTTTCCAATGCTACAACCAATACTGGTGAAAACAAAACCAAAATTTACCTAATGTTAAAAATTAATCTCTATCTTTTCCAATGCTACAACCATTTAAGAAAATTTCACACTAGTAATAGTAAGGACCCAATGCCAAGCAATTTCATTGAAAAGAAATTAATATGAAAAAATAAAATAAACAAAATGTAGAAAGTACAACTCACTAGGCAAGTCAATACTAAAGTCTTATCACTAAAAAATAAAATATATATACATTCATGAGTTCAGTACTAAAGTCTTATCTCTATATATAATAAAAAAATTGCAAATTCTTCATATTATATAAATGACTTACTTCTCTGCATTCCAAGCTTAGCAGCTTCAACAGCAATGGGAAAAACTGCAATTCATAACTAAATTTAAACAAAAACATATTAGTCTACTTTAAAATATCCAATTAACTCATAAATTGGTAACATTAGCCCTCCTAAATATAATTGCACAAAAGTTAGAAACTTAAGAATACTAATGTAAACTAACATTAACCATCACTCATCAGTATTGAAAATCCCAACAATACTAAACTATGCTAATCTGCTAGACTCGTTTTTAGATTTTATCTAGAAATTCTTGAAGATAGTTTAACCAACATAGTCTCATTTACCGTGGATTTCACAAGATTTGTACCTTTTGTATGGCTCCCCATGAAGCACTGCCCTTCTTATGAGGCCTGGGAAAGACGGGGAGAGAGTGTAAAGCCCACAAGTCTTCTGGTTTCTGAAAGTTCCCCAGTAGAGAATTTGCATCAACCAAAATGAATTAGACATCACATATAAGATTTCTTTTGATCCAATTTAGAGCTAAATGAATACCTTACCATGTTTGCATCAGGAAGTTCTCTAACAGCTTCATCAACGTTTTCCGCAGTAGCCTTGAGCTGGAAAACAAAATGTGCATAGATTTACTAGAACACTATGTTCTTGTGTGTCAAAGGAATGCAATCATATTTGAGAAATAACTTGGCAACCTTAAACAAAAAAAAAAAAAAAAAAAAAAATACCTCATAGCAAAGCTTTAAAGTTCAGGAGTATTATAAGAATCAATTTTTTTTAAATCAAAAAAAGAGATGTATGTAACTAAGAAACAGAGATAGTAGCAGAATACATACCAACTTAGCACTTTCTTGCTCCGTTTTATCTGAGAGGCGGTTCCTTAATGGTTCTACATGCTGACTTCCATCTAATTGGACACCAATGAAGTATTGTAGCTCTCCCTAAAAAAGCAAGATCCGAAAAACAATATTATTGACTTACATATACACATATATAATACAACAATTAATAAATAGGTAGGCTCTTTAGATCATGCATGCTGACCATGTTGAGCTTTAGTCCATTATCCCTAGAAAATAAGTGTTTCCATAGATGATGTTAAACAAAGCACACCAATTAGAGATAGACATGCTCACAGAAGTTGGGACACTTCCATATTTGCTGATCTCTATAAACCTCATTCTGATGCTCTGCCATGATATCTGCTGCAAATTGCAGATCAGACTAGGGATTTTTAGTCCCAGGTTCAAACTCCTCTATCATCAAGATCTCATATAGCAAATCAGTTCAAGACTCAAAATAATCACTTAACCAAACATTTTCTTCATCTCAGATTCTGCTTCTGTTCAGGGTATCACTTAGAAAACCAAAACCAACTCAAACTAGACCACTCTTAAAATTAAAACAAGCATTGTCTCAGGTCAGACCTTCAATCTCAGTAGCCAGTAGATAGCCAATCTTGTAGCTTAAACCATGTAGCAACTTTCAAACCAGATTCCATCAAGATTTGTTCAAAATTCTACCAAGGTTTCAGAGGTCCATTAAGCATGATGGACCCTCCTTATTCCTCCCTTTTAGCTTTCTTCTTCCAAATTACATTTCAGCTCAGATCAATTAACACCTGCAAGCCAAATAAAGAATGCTAAGGGTGTGGCTTCATCTTCACAGATCACAGCCTGTGAATCAGCCAAAGTTACCTCATTAGTACACTGCAGCAGCAAACCAGCTTCTAGATAAGCCACCTGCAACTCTATTCTCAGATTTTGCATAACAAGGGTCTCATCTCCCATAACAGGATCAACCACTTGGCAGCTACAAAACTCCACTTAAAAGCTTCGAATTGTAGCTGCAAGCACTCAGACTCAGATCAGATCTTCAATCTTATCACAAAGAGTCCACCCAACAGGGTGGACCTCCTTATTCCTCCATCTCATACATCTAATCTGCAGAACCTCAAGAAAACCAGAGCTATCCTTTCCCAGGAAGGGATCAAACATCTGGCCAGCAGTCACCTTCCACTAAAAGCTTCAGGTTGCTGCTGTATATGGATCAAACATCTGGCCAACAGTCACCTTCCACTATAGTTCTTGGAATATTCAAACCCAGCGAGATCAACTTGTCAAAAGAAGAAGACGAAATGAGAAAGAGAAAATCTGAACAGATAGAAAATCTGAGTACTCTAGAACGGAAGGGGCGGCTCTCTATTGCTTCACGCGGCATTAAGTTTCTCCATCAGGTTAGCTTTCTCAATTCTTAACAGGTTTATCCTTGCAAATCTTAATTTTCTCCCAAATACATTGGCGGATCTGCATGCTGCAGCTGTGGGGGTTGTATATATATAATTTTTTATTTTTTTTATTTTCCATATTGATAGCGTGAGTTCCAGCTCCTCATCATCTTCAACCTTCTGCAGCTACGCAATCTGCGCTTCTACATCTCAAGATTCAAGCTCTTCCGTGCCACTCTGTCTCTCCCTCCGCACTCCGGCAGTCCGCCCTCGTCAGTCGTCTCTCGTCTCTCACCGCCTCACGCCCTTCGCCCTTGCTCGGTCGCTCCTCACATCCTCAGACGGTCAGCGACTCACCGGCGACCGTACGGGACTCAGCGACTGCAACTCCACTCCCTCAAGGTAAATTTTTACATATTAAAATTAAAATGAATTTCATACATTATATATGCTGGATTTTATGCGAATATATGGATCTGGCCAGCAGTCACCTTCCACTAAAAGCTTCAGGTTCCAGCGGAGCTTGCAAACACCTTTAGTCGGTTGGGAGCATTAGAGTCCAAACGGCACCGAGAAGGAAGAGTAGCAGAGGCAGGGAGGCGCACGACGAAGTCACGTAGGGTGGCTTTGCGGTGGGAGTGTGGGGAGAAGGCGGGATTGGGTGGGCAGAAACAGGAAGACGCCATAGAGAGAGAGAAAGGTCGGAGTGGATGAAGATTAGAGCGGATGGAGATGGTTTATGCGTAGCTACTGGGTTGTTAGGGTTTGGATTAAAAAAATAATTCGCGTCCAAAGTTTGCCACTTTGGACGCGAGTGATGAATGAGATTCTATTATTCGCGTCCAAAGTATTGAGCTTTGCACGCGAGTGATGGATGAGATTCTATTATTCGCGTCCAATGTATTGAGCTTTGGACGCGAATAATAGAAGACTTTTATTATTGGCGTCCAAAGTACAGAGCTTTGGTCGCCAATACTGTTTTAAAATTAAAAAAAAAAAAGAAAATTATTTATATAGTGGCATTTTAATTACAAAAATGCCACCGCATTACACTTTAGGCGTCCAAAGTTCTAACTTTGGATGCGAATTAGTCGATTTTATTGATATTTTTTGTACTAGTGCAACACATTCTCAGAATCAACATGAACAATAGATGGGGTAGCCTTAGACACCAGAGTCTCAAGCTTATAAGGTGAAATACCTATAGGAGAGTCAGAGGAATTTGACCTGTTTTGCAGAGTCTCAATGCGGTGACTAGCTTCATTCTTCGCAGCCTGACGATACAAAGGTTGAGCAATTTCTTGTCGACGGGAGAAATCTTCAGACTCAAGGGCTCTTTGAGCAAAGTAATGTAGGAACGCCCCAGCACGATTTCCATCCAAGGGCTCTGGAATAGATGCCGGAACAATATCATCACCTGCTTCAGAGGTCAGCAGCAAAAGCTCACCGGTGTCATCGTCGGACCAATCGGCATAAAACTCAGGATAATCGGACAGTACAGTGATAATGATTTCGTCGCGGAGAAGAGGATCAAGTTCCAATTTTTTCTTCATAGCCAACAGAAGCAAGGTTTTGACATGTTTGGTTGCTGTTTCTTGTGAATGCACTTTTCTTCCAAGCTTGATGATCATATTACGAACTGCATCCGCCATTGATGAGAGATTCGAGAGGACGAAGAAGCAAACCCTAGATAGGTGATTAAGAAGAATACTGCCTGTATGTAGAAAGAGAGTCTCTTGATCGTTTTTCTCAAGACTTCCTTGATACGTGATTATAAAAACCAAGGGAGAAGAGCCCCAATAAATGCAGCTAGTCAGATATCATGCAGACATGATGTGATTGACGCAACGATACATCTCCTTTTTAGGATGGAAACGGACCCCAAGGCAATTCAAATTTTGAAAAGAGATTACGATCTTTTAAAAATATCATTACGATAAATTAGGATATTAGAATCCTCTTAACAAAATAGAGAGGAGACTGAGAAAGAAATCAAACCATAAGTCTGACCTGTATCATTAAAACTTTACTCCTCTCTGAATGACCATCGGCTGAATTAGTCAATTCTGCAAATTCTCATAGCAGACCTGAGCACATCAAAACGATTTGTGCCTAATGGCTTAGTCACAATGTTAGACAGTTGGTTGTCAGTCTGAATATACTCCATTTCAATCTCCTTGGATTCAACCAGGTCTCGGATGTAATGATGCCTGATGTCAATATGCATTGTTCTGAAATATTGAACTGGATTCTTAGAGATATTGATAGCAGTGACATTGTCACAATAGAGTATCATAATCCCTTGACTAAGATCATAGTTTAATAACATCTGTTTCATCCACACTGATTGAGCACAGCATACACCAACAGCTATGTATCCTGCCTCTGCAGTACTTAATGAAATCGAGTTCTGTTTCTTACTCAGCCATGACACCAAGTTCTTACCAACCAAGAAGCAACCATCAAATGTGCTTTTACAGTCATCACTTGCACATATTCCAACACTGAGAATTATGTCTGGACGATTGACAATTATATACAACAGACTCCCGATCTGACTTCGATAGACTGTGTTATCCACTGATACACCTGTTTCATCTTTTGACACTTTTGTGGATGTAGAGATAGGTGTCCTGGATGGTTTACTTGATTCCAGATCAACCTTCTTGACTAGGTTCTTAACATAATTTTCTTGTGAGATGAAGTATCCTTTAGAGCTTTGCGTGACTTGCAGTCCTCGTTTATGTTCATGCTGATGTAAGTACTGAGTCAGTCGTTTATACCACGCCCGTGGAGCATGTTTGAGACCATAGAGCGCCTTTCGAAGATTATAAACATATGATGGATGGTCTGGATCTTTGAATCCTTTAGGTTGATCCACATACATATCTTCATGCAGATAGCCATTCAAAAATGTTGTCTTAACATTTATCTGAAACAGTGTGAATCCCAGAATACATGTGACAGCCAACAGAATCCTGATTGACTCGAGTCTTGCTACAGGAACAAACTTCTCAACATAGTCAATTCCTTCAATCTGGGTGTACCCTTGCGCCACTAACCGAGCTTTGTTCCTTGCAATACTTCCTGCTTCACCTTGTAAAGCTTCTTTAACGTCCTTAGGTTCAGTTTATGAAGTATAACAAGCAGAATCAGATATCTCTTTAAGGTTATTTCTTATTCTGCTTCTGGTCTTCATTACATATGTCAGATCTCCAATGATGTTATCAGATGGATGGTTTTTCTGAGTTCTTGTATGGTTGTCTTTGCCTGTATCTGCAGGATGGGTGCTTTCTTGATCAGATCTTTCTTGATCATCATCTGAAGATTCTAAAGTCTTGAGCTGATAATTGTCGTCAGTAGTTCTTACGGCACTGATAGAAGGGACTGTCTTAGACGCAAATACTGATGTTTCCACAGACTCATCTGGGTTGTCTACTATCACCATATTTACTGATTCCATCACAGACTGAGTTCTCTTGTTGTATATTCTGTATGCCCGACTGTTTGGTGAGTAATCAAGAAAGATGCTCTCATCACTTTTGAATTCAAATTTTCCTCTTTGTTCTCTGTCAATCAACACATAATAGTTGTCTGAAGATCGGGTTCCTTTCATAACTAAATGATCTGAGTTGTCACTAACTCTGCAACAGTTGTGGTTGAAATACACATTCCAGTTTTGATCACACAACTGACTTATACTGATCAAATTAGCTTTCAATCCACTGACCAACAGAACTTCTTCCAAGTGAGGTAAACCAGGTACATTCAGTGTTCCTTTCCCAATTATTTTACCTTTCTGACCATCTCCATATGTAACAGACCCACTGCTTGGTTGAATGGACATGAGACACTTCACATTCCCTGTCATATGTCTAGAACAACCACTGTCGAAGTACCATCTTGCTTCAGTCATTGATGCGGTTAGAACTATCGTGGGTTAGCATATCACTTCTGACTTTCTAACCCATACCTGCTTTCTGAACGGAGCAATAGTCTTGTTCTTGTATTTCTCTTTTCGTTGATCTCTATAGAAGAAATAACACTCTGGTCTGGTATGCCCTTTTGTTTGACAGTAATGGCAGGTAGATGTATATTGTTTAACACGGATGAACTTATTTTTATGTTTTAAGTACTGAGATTGAGAAGTAGTTCTACCAATGTCATGTCCTGAAGATTGACTGTATCTATTCCTCTCGAATTCTTCCTGAGCTGATTTATCAGACTGTCGTTTATCATAACTGTAACCAGATTTCGGAGCTGACAGACTTGATAATCCTTCTTTGA